CGTAACTCACAAAGCGAGTACATAGGCTACTGTAGGTTAGATACATAAAGAACACATATTGAGAAACAGACAAAAAGGTATGAAAGGACAGTAAATACAGATTAATACATTGACAATTTATATGAATAGCATACAAAAACAGGCAAAATAAGATACACAGGTTATCGTATAAAGGAACTTGAAATCACATATCAATAATCAATTAGAATCGACAGGATTCCTTGATATAATTCTGAACATTTTGAAAAAGATACATATTTTCATTAAATGTTAATTCACTCGACCCACAAAGGAGCAAATTAGTCTTTCGATTATCTGAGCTGTGAATTATTCCTCATTATCTAATTATCTATCCTCTAAAGTTCTCTTACTACTTGAACAGAAACTATAGACAATGTCATTCCAAGGCTTTCTTGTGCATGGGCCGAGTGGTTTTGGAGTCTGGATAATATATCAGACAGGCACGTGTTACCTGACGGTAATATCTAAAAGAGATGGACGAGAGGTAGTTTACGAGATGGTTCCAAAATTGAAAGAAGAGTTTGGCCGGTTAGTATTAGGGTTAGTGTGGGGGTTATGATTAGGATTAGGTGTGGGGTGAGGGTAAGGTTTAGTATTGTTGCAAGTGACTGGTTGTTGATTCTTTTACGTTTTAATGATCTTAAAAACTGGCGGCCATCTTGAAAACCTGCCTCTAGTCCATCCCCTTTAGCCACGACCGTTACCTGACGTGCAGTTTTCTTTATATCGAAAATTACTGCGTACCTTTTCCCAAGGTATAGTATTTCTTCATTTTCATTTTCTAAATGTATTTTGCGTATATCCGTAATAACCGTTACTGACTTTCTCACAATGCATGATCTGCAGGATACCGATCGAGCCTTTTTAAATACTGGAAAAAATTTATGGACTTTGCATGAAACTTTAAAGACTACTTTTCCTTATAACAACAATTATGGCAAAATATGGATGAAGAAATTGACATATTCGTCCTGACGACGTACAGGGACTTATCGTATTTCATTGCCTGTTTCTTTATTTCACTCATAAGAGAGATAAATAAACATTGAAATAGAATACGTTTCTGTCATATATACGATTTTGACGATTGAAGTGGGAAACGTGTAAATATATATTCCCCAGCTGCATGCACCGGTTGCATTAAAATTAATGCCCTATTAAACTTTGCATAAAGATCATAATATCAGCGATGAGACACAAACAACTGGTACTTGGTTGAGCTAGACAATACGACAACAATAACATTGTAAAGTAAAAATCAATATCCTAATATTAAAGATGTAGCGAAGAAAAAGCCCCGAAAGAACATACTAATGACTCCTCGATGCTTGTCGAATACTTAGTAATATGTTTTGTGTTTTTACGTGAGAGTTTGGCTTCGGAAAGCAAGGCCAAGGAATTGGAAATATTAAAAGAAGAACAAGTGGACAGAAACCATAGCTTGGACAGCTTAAGCTTTCTCATTTTGATTGCCTTACTCATAGCCCATGTTATAACAGTATGGATATTTTCAAGGATAAGGATTTGGTATATTCATCCAACAGGGTTAGCGTTAGTTTATGGTAAGTTTTGATTCTATATTAAATCCTCCATAGCAGTCTTCATCTCAGGTAAATTATACTTGTTAGTCTTATATAGCAGGTGTGCGAGCAGAACATTGATGCAAAACAATCGGGCGCATCAATAACCTTCTGTAACTGAACATTTACTACAAAATAACGACTAGACTTTAATAAATACGGTAGTTCTTCGAGTTCATTCAAGAACAGCGACTGCAATTTTAACACGGCTCCATAGATCTATAGTGTCTTCTGTGATGATCTAAAGGATCCCTTACAAGAATCAATTTACAACATTAATCATTATTGTTATTTACATATAAATAACCGTGTCCGTGGAATATATATGAAGGATATATGTAGTATATTGTATATATCTAAAAAGTAGTATAAGCTGAATTACTCATGCATATGATACATTATTTAATTAGATGCAAGAAATATTATTTATACTATATGCTGTAACTCATACAATGCGGACAACATCATATAAGTAGATGTCAATAATGTCATCAACCTTTCACGTCCATGTTCCTTTAGTACTTTTAGAAGCTGGAAACCCTTCACAAACTTTTCCATGCATTTGATACAATGTTGTTTGACCATAATCTAATGTTCGTATACTACTATACTCAGATACCAAGCACGGTTAACAATGGGCGTTTATTCAGGAGGGGTGGGGTGATTTTTGACAACAGTTTCATCCATTTTAGTTGATCTAAGCTCTTTAATGTGCTTGTCCGAATGATGGCTTGTCTATGATGCAGGATTGCCGGAATACTATAATGCCACGGGATTCGGAATTCATTGATATCAAATATTTTGAAATCAAATATTAAAGTGAACTAAGAGTATATTTGAACAATTAAAATTGATGCCGATCACTGAGGGGCCGATTCACCGAGGGGCCACCGAATCTATATAGTCTATAGATCGTCAGAAATGGCATTCTCAGAGTCTTCTCTACCAGTTTCGTTAAAGTGCCTACGACACGAAATTTCACCCCAAATGTTTATGATTGCATTGTAAAGATCACTTAAAATGACTTAATAATTTCTTTCATAGAATTTTGGTAACTTGCTTCCTTTGTAAGATATTCAACTTTGTTCCATATGCAAATATCACCGGTGTGACATCACATCGCATAATGACATTTTGATAACGCAATATTTTACCTTTATAAAATATTTTTACAAACAAATACAGAGGGTTAATTACCAGTTATGAAATTACTGATACATATACAAGGGCAATTTTTAAGTTTTTTAGATACGTATTCGTCAAGAAACTATACTTTTCTGAAAACTCATTATGTGATGTGATGTCACTGATGTGATGTCACACCGGGTGATATTTGCATATGAAACAAAGTTGAATATCCTGAAAAGGCCGCAAGTTACCAAAATTCTATAAACGAAATTCAGATTAAGTCATTTTAAATGATCTTTACCTGAATGCAACCATAAACCTTTGGGGTGAACTTTCGTGTCATAGGCACTTTAATATCGGCTGATCAGCGCAATTTCTTTTGAAACTCCCTATTTTTTTTTTGGGGGGGGGGGGGTGATGGCGAAAGCTAAATATGGTGTGGCGCATACACAGTGCCAGAGTGTGACAATGTCCCGTCTAAGACGGGAATAGGGTGGGTGCAGTGTCTTACGGCAGTATTCTAAAAGTTCACTCACACTCAAAGAGTGGAGGTTCAATCAGAGCTTCCCTTACGTGTGCTGAGTTTTTGAATAGCTGGAGGGTGAGTAGTCACATACACTAGTAAGGTACGACACTAATCCTCCAGCTATTCAAAAACATCACTGTCACAAGGGAAGCTCAGATTGAACCTCCACTCTTTGAGTGTGAGTGAGCTTTTAGAATACAGGCGCGTTAGAATCCAAAGAGGTTATGCGCGAATCAAATCGAAACCTTGACATCCCCCCCCGGGCATACCCCCGGGTATTTGGATTTTGACGTTTTGGTCAGGTCAAATTCCCTACATATATTTGTAATTCCCGTTCAAATACACCACGTATTGGGAAAAATTGGAGTTCAAATACCCCACCCCATGTACGAATTGGAAGCTACAGCATTTCGCAATTTTGGAATTTCCAAGTTTTTCTTTCCTTCAAAAACTCTCTTCAATCGTTCAAAGCCGTTTTCTTGTAGCCAACCAAGGACAAAGTTAATTCCTTTGCACTTGAAGACCTTGAACTCATCCATTAATTATTGACGCCATTTTGGATTCTGCACATGTGTTTAAAAGAAAAATTCAAATTCCCGACCCCCTTCAAATTCCCCACCTTCCACTAGAAAAAAAGGTCAAATTCCCGCCTTCTTAAAATACTAAACAAGCAAATTCCCCAGGTATGCCCGGGGGGGGGGGATGTCAAGGTTTCGATTTGATTCGCGCATAACATCGAGTACAAAGTCTTGGAAAATATTAGTCCAACAAAGGAGGAATAAAAGGAGAACACACACTATCAAATAGGCAAGTCAATTTCATTTTAAAATTTATATTTTACGACATATTTTTACTATAATATACATTAATATAATATAATATACATTTATACTATAAGTCTATACTGACCCTTGCGAGATTGGGCCGTTATACTGCCCAACGCTATTCGCAATCAAACAAGAGAAGTCTACACTATCAGATAAAAACATATCGAGCGACTGGGAAAGCAAGGAATGGCGCAATTTACAATACAGGTAATTGATCATAAAATATTGCATTAGTATTTGTCTTGTTACACTCGAATTTCTGCGTTTATTTAACACGGAGTAGGATATATACTATGAGAAATAGTGTTACAAACAAGTTACATACTTGGTAAAACTTTTCTGCCTTTTGTTTTGGCTCAAAATGCACTACGTGTGGTAATACACGGTATTGTTTATAGTCATGAGATTGTGTTTACCCAGCCAATGACGTCAGATAATGTATTTTGTGGCATAAATTAGCATACGCGCTTATTTTCAAAATGGCGGACAACTGTTGAACTTTTTATCAAATTTTCTCAACAACTAAACGCGACAAACCGGCCAAAATATGAAATTAAATATTCCGCAAGTATACCTAATAGATATAAGTAATAAAAA